CAGAGTATCTCAGAGTACATTATCTTTTTTTCTCTTCTATGACGTAACTATACTACTCCTCTTGTAAGATAATATATATAAATAAAACTACATCACCACCAATCTGTAACTTCAACCGCTGATTTCACTGAGAAATTCAGAGAGATGCAGCAATAATAAAGTTAACATCGAGCTCGACTTATGACATCCACAGCTGCAGGACCCTGTGATGGTAGCAGCTGTCTGATAATACAAGCTGAATCATTTTTTTGGGTTGAGCATTGGGGGGGGGGGTGTTAAGGTATCCTCAGACAGATACATGTGCATGTATAAGGATCTGCAATTATCAAAAGGCATAGAAAGTGTGATAAAGTCTATAAAGTGCCTAGCTCTGAGTAACTCTGCATTTCAACAAAGCCAGTCAGAATGAATGAAGAAGAATGCAGGAACCTTGCTAGGTTTGAATTTAATTAGCGCAAGAGCTGTGCAGTAAAACCAACAATGTGAGAAAGAGCACCCAAGCTGGAAATGGCAAAGGGATGGGGCCAGCTGTTTTTAAGACAAAGCGGCTCATCGAAAAGCGAATCAACAGCTCATAGCACATGGTTTAAGGGCCACACTGCCGTTATAGCTCTGCCCCTACCAGTATTTTGAGGGTCGCAGAAACATCAAGGACAGACAAGACCATATGACATACACGATTCTCACAGGACAAATAAGACAAGCTGAATTCTCCATATTATGCTCAGTAAGTCTCAAAGAGCTTACAGACTAAACAGAGTAGCACTGAAGACTGACCGGCACACTCCATGCATACTTTGGTAGTCTAATAATGGCCATAATCCTCTTATGGGCAGGAGGATGGCTAAGACCAGAAAAACACCGTCACCAACCCGGTGCCAGTAAGCCGCTTGTCTCCGGAAATGTGTTTCCTTGGGTTGGTGAATCCCATTCATACGATCACTAATTTTTCCCACTTCTTTCATTCTTCTCCATAACCTCAGTGCCTCACTATTTTTACAAGACATGGGAAAAAGGCAGGGATATCAGAACCAAAGCAGATGGTGTCCTCCAAGCCTGCCTCTATGGATATTCATCCCTCAAACTGAAAATCTGAAGCTTGTGGTAGTCCTCATATATACACACATATTCTCACCTTGTGCTGTGAAAATATGAACGACCAAGTTGACCATAAAACATGTGCGTATAATGCAGAATCTAGTGCTCTATACAAAGATGTTTTCATTGTGCTCATTTCGAATTCTGATGGTGATTACACTCGTGACAGGCAGCATGGGGGTGCAGTGGTTAGCACTCTTGCCTCACACCTTTGGGACCAGCGTTCAAGTCTCTGCCATGTGTGAAGTTTGCATGTTCTCCCCATGTCATCATGGAGTTTCCTCCCGGTACTTTAGAATCCAAGTCACATGTTCCACCTCATGTTAGTGACCTATGCACTGAACTGAGACATTGCTATGTTATGTGATGCAAAGGGACTTTTGCCCCCTACTGGCCCACTAATAATATTGCTGACAAAATCAGGGTTTTATCTAAGAAACAGTTCATCCAAGTGCTAAATAGCCCTATTCTGCATATCTTCAGATGTGTATCAAGCTGGTATGACAGGGTGCCATGGTTTTCTGCTGCAGCTGCATCCAGCACATTATTTATTCCATACATGGCCAAGCTAACCCCCTAGGTGAGGGAGAAAATCAGCACTCCAATGCCCACAGAACACTGTACACGCAGAACAGTTACATGGAGGTGCTTGTAGTTTCTGGACAAATAAGGTTACACTTCTTTTTAGCCTTACAAGAGAAATATTTTAGGAAAATCTCTCAGCTGGCCTCTGTTAGCATATGACATAGTATTATGGTTAGGGCTCAGGTTTAAATACAGAGTAAAAATACAGCTTTCTATGAACTATAATCAGCACTGGCCTAAATAGTTTTTAGAGTGGAAGAATTTTTCGTTTTTTCCGTGTTTTAGATTGCTGAAGGATAATGCAAGTTTTACCATTTCAAGCCATATATTGAGACTATTTCACCAAAAAAAAACACATTACCACACAAACCAAAGAGAAACATGCTGTAGGACTAATATAATTCCCATATTTATGATTTATGTTGATGGAATAAGCTTCTTAATTCCAGGAAGTTATGCTGCAAACCAGAGCTTAAGAAACTGATGATTCTGATGATTATACCACCGTCACACGGCATGCTGTACCCCTTCAGAAACACTCCTGTAATGGTGGAGTAAATGCAGCAGAATTGTGTTGTTGTGTGGCTGAATGAGACTCCCCACGAGTACAAGGTGAGCGCTAAGCTACTGCATGTTACCTTTAGATGATGATAACTTTAACATGCTCCAATTTCCTCTCACCGCCCAAAAACATTTGGTTAAGCTAACCGGTGTCAGAAATTTCCCACAGAGCAGGGTTCTTCAAATCTGGACCCCGATTCCAAATCCAGGCCGTGTTGTCAGTTCTCCCAGGTAGTTAGTTTAATAATTACTGATTCTGATTGGTCAGAGGCTTCACACCTGACTGACAGGTAAAGGAAGGGTGGAAAACCATCAGTGCTCGGACCTCGAAGAACTGTGATTTGAATAACCCTGCCATAGAGTATGACTGTGTTTGCATGATTGGCTGTTACCACCTCTATGGCCTTGACCAGGATGTCATTGGAAGGACCCCCCCCCACCCACGCCCAGGGGAGGTCGCAAGATCATTTGCTAAATATGCTACCCCCCCCCACCACCCAACAAAATTTATCAATGGAAACCCCTTCCCCACCCCATATCAAGTTTGAGGAAAAAAAACTTTCACAAGCACTGCTCTACATTACAAAATATTTTTTACATTTTTCACATTAGGTTGATTTGTTTCTCAAATCAGTCCTGGGAAACCCCCCTGGGGAGCTGCATGGGAGGGAGCAAAAACGTGGACCGTCTGGGGGCCCCCAGGACCGGGCTGGGGAGCACTGCTGCTCTCGTTGACTCCTTCCCCGTTGTGTTTCATGCTGAAACATTCGCTGCCTAGCTCCTGAAAGCATTCTTCTGTGCACATTTGACTGCCAAATTTTCACAGGAAAAGTTCTGAAACTGCTTTGACTTCTGTAGACTCACAAGTTTGACTGAAGACTACTAAACCACAAAAAAAGCACAATGTGAGAAAAATAAGAAGTGGTTTTATGGTCTGGTGGCAGTGGTGGGTATTTTAACTGTGTCTCTTATGAAGGCTTTGTCATACCACTGCAGAATGCTACATAGTAATGATTGGTAAACTATAAAATCCTTTCATATTATATACTGGAATGAGACGCAGACTTCCTTATTGTGTCTGTTAAATCATCCAGCATAAAGACACCGCAGTATTTAATACACCACCACGTTATTTGTTGCACAGCAGATGTTATCGCAACTCAGAGCTTTAAAACTATGCATTTTACCCAAAGATACTGTATAGGTGGAGTAATTTTATTTGATTACTCAAGGGTAAAAAAGAAAGTTCAACAACTCCAGGTCTTTAGCCAATGTTCTTTCCAAAAAAGGAAAATATTCTCATAACAATTAAATTTTTATATGTTACATGATATAATATTAAACCATTTACATTATTTATAAGGAGATGATTTCAAATGCAGAAGAGCAGGAACATGCACTGAGGGGCACTTGGGAATATATTAATGAGTATTTTAATAAGCATATTATTAAAGTGTCCAGATCAATACTACCCTGCGGTATATGTTTTATTGATATGATGCAATCATATTAGTCATGTATGTTTGAACAGGTAATGGACAAAGCAAAATTTTACTATGAAGAAGTCAAATAATTGTTATCATAATAGGGTCTTCTTGGAAGGTATACAAAACATTTATCATTGCCTACACATCTTATTTGTGGAGCCCTTTGGAAGCCTAGGAAAAGGCTTTTGCAAAGTATTCCACATTTCCAGAAACCTACAGTTGCAAAATAATGTGACAGGCAGACCTGTAGAAACAACGAATGAGACACCTAGTGAAGGTTTCAAAGGAGAACTCAGTATCAGGCCGTGTTTAACTTCATAAGAAGTGTCACCTGGGAAGCAGACATATCGGTTTTCCTGACAGAGGACTTTGCTTTCCTTCTTATTCTGAGAGAACTGCATTTTATTGACTTTTATCATTTCAGCCCACCCGCATGATGGAAATTCAGCTTGCAAAGGCTCAGAACAAGCATACCCCTTGTGTGAACACACCTTGACGTTTAAGGGACTGTGAGAATCCCACAGCAATCCAGCAACAATCTGAAAGGTCCCAGCAGCAGAGAAGTGCACTCTGGGAACGACACGTTCTCCCTCTGCTGGTGAAGCAGGGGCACTAAATCCATCGCAGTCTATCGCAAGTTAAATCTATAGTCAAGTCAAGGACAGGAATGAAATATTACCATCAGAAAAGCAGTGTTACTTGTATTTGTATTCCTCATTCACTCTTCTATATACCACCTCCAAGACATTTATGTGTCTTTAAAGGGGAAGGAAACTGAAATGGTACAAATAAAACAAAAAATATTACATTCAGGATTTATTACTTAGACATCACTTGGGAATGCGAGAGTTGATCAAGTTACAGAAAAAAAGATATAAAAAGCAGAGCAATAATGAGTCCCTAGAATGAGTCCCTAGAGCGTTATGGTCGCCACGCCAGCCCGGCCCTCACTCCTCTATTCTGCCAAACCTTACTTCCGTAATTTAGTTCCATCTCACCAGGAGCTTATGTCTCCAGCTTGAGATAAATGAAGATGATGTGACACGCCTCACAGCCTTCCTCTGCCCTCCTGGCATGCCCTAGTGCACCGTGAGGTAATATGAAAGCATGTCACCTTTCCCATCTATGTACTTCTGAAAACCTAAAGCTACAGCAGTCACCGGTCTCTGCCCAGCACAGCATGGTCTCTGTGCCCAGAGTAAGAGGGAGCAGGTCGCTCCATTGCAGGTGTCCCCGTGGTGGGGGGGCTGTCCCTGCAGCTATACTCACCGCTCCCAGTGGAGAGCTCGCTCTGGCAATCGGGGAGGTGGCTCTCCGCCGGCACACTGATGGTGCGACGCAGGAGCCGGGCCCGGCTTCCAGGCCGGTGCTCCTGCAGCAGGAAGGGAGGCGCCTGTAGGAGGGCAAGGGGCAAGAGGCCACATGAGCAAACATGGAGGCGGAGTCCAAGCCCAGGCTCGGCATGCTGATACCGGCCCAAGGCAATGATTGTGGGTGAGTTCTCTGCTATTGAGCTCAATGACAAATACGGTATATTCCACATAAGCACAAATGTACCTTTCACTAAGTATCACAGTCCGGTCCTCGGGGACCTCCAGGCAATCCATGTTTTTTCTCCCTCCCAGCAACCAGTAGGGAGCAAAAATGTGGACTGTCTGCCAGTGCACTTAGGGAGCAAAAAGGTGGACTGTCTGCCAGCGCACTTAGGGAGCAAAAAGGTGGAGTCTGCCAGCGCACTTAGGGAGCAAAAAGGTGGACTGTCTAGGGGATCCCCAAGGACCAGATTGGGAAACACTGCTATATTGTATACATCCCTTGAAGGTATTTTTTTTTTTTACCATTTGCGGTCTCACTAGTGACCATTGAATCACACAAACATGTAGTATATTATACAATCCCTACTGCTGCTAGAACAAAAACCAAAAACAGAGTGTTGATAATTGTTTTGACAGTTTTGGATTTTTTAAGCTGTTTTTTTTTTTTATCATCGTTCAAAGTGACATTTTTACTCCTGAAGACACTCTCACATTTTACATAAATAGGTCCTCATGAGATTAGAGGAAAAACTGCACCACACAGACATATTCTGTTTTGCATGAGCCCCGCAGCATGTCTTTTCTGTCTCATTGGTTTCCCTCTGTAACCAAACCCCTCACCCCCAGACAAGTTACCTGTGGCTGACACCACAGATAAAATATTACTTGGGGAACAGGAATTACGTAATTCGTTCAACGGGCAGGGAGGCAATGGATTTCTCTTTAACTGTCTGGAGGGACAGGAAGATGAATGTCTAGGCTAAAAAAAGAAGAAGAAATTAGAAGAATCAAAGGCATGGGGGCAGTGCAGGACCATGAAGCTTCGGACGTGGCCTTCTCCAGCCCAACAGGAAAGGGGGCAGNGGGGGCAGTGCAGGACCATGAAGCTTCGGACGTGGCCTTCTCCAGCCCAACAGGAAAGGGGGCAGAGCAGGACCATGAAGCTTCGGACATGGCCTTCTTCAGTCCAAAAAGAAAGGGGGCAGAGCAGGACCATGAAGCTCTGGACATGGCCTTCTCCAGCCCAACAGGAATGGGGGCAGTGCAGGACCATGAAGCTCCGGACGTGGCCTTCTCCAGCCCAAGAAGAAAGGGGGCAGAGCAGGACCATGAAGCTCCGGACGTGGCCTTCTCCAGCCCAAAAAGAAAGGGGGCAGAGCAGGACCATGAAGCTCCAGACGTGGCCTTCTCCAGCCCAAAAATAAAGGGGGCAGAGCAGGACCATGAAGTTCCAGATGTGGTCTTCGCCAACCCAACAGGAATGGGGGCAGTGCAGGACCATGAAGCTCCGGACGTGGTCTCCTCCAGCCCAACAGGAAAGGGGGCAGAGCAGGACCATGAAGCTCTGGACATGGCCTTCTCCAGCCCAACAGGAAAGGGGGCAGAGCAGGACCATGAAGCTCTGGACATGGCCTTCTTCAGCTCAACAGGAAAGACAATTCACCGCTACTGCAGGTAACACTGTGAAGCAGCTGTTCAGAGCGGCTCACAAAGTGCAAAGGAGAGGGACAGATGGAACAGAACCTAGACACCTATAAGGCCAAAATTTATAAAAGCATCGAAAGAGATACTATGGAATAATATAACAACATATAGAAATAAAAATGATTCTCAGTTAAAAGAGCAAATGGAAATTGTTGGGTAAACTCAACTAAACCCTGCTCTTAAATAGGTGCCAATGTTAGTTAACACTAATTAACACTGAAACCAAGTAAATCCTGAAGAAAAGGCCACTCAGGGTAATGTTTATGACGATGGGGATTTGGGCTCTCCAGACCACATTAAGTAGGTGCCATTCTTAATTTTCACTTCTTAGCAAAAAATTCCCAGTAACTTCTGTAGAAGAATACAACAGGGACTGACACAGAGCAGGACCAAGTCTGGGCATCACCGTCCCACAGTTTGCAACTGACCCTTTGAAGATCTAGGTTTGTCCCCAGCTGGTCTGCTTTTGGCCAGATAATCTCCATATGTAATGTAATATATCAGACATGTGCTGTATGCCAGTGTTTGGGGTTGAAACAGAAAAATGTGATTCACTCTTCACATCAAGACAGCATTCCCTCTTCATAGGAGGTCTGAGTGCTTTAACGGCCAGGAGGTGAACAGGAGAGTCAATGAGCACTGATTTCCTCCTCATGTTTCATGGCACTTCATGGGTGAACTAGAGCATGGCCTGAAGAGAAAAAAAATCGAAGCCTTGTGAAACAAACCACCCACCCTCTGCGGTATTTCAGGAAGGCGAGATGGCAGTAAACGGAGAAAAGTCAATACATGGCCAGTCCATCGGATGCGGGGGGATGGGGGGGGGCATGATGTTCTCAAATGACTTTTCAGCCACATGAAAACCGTGTCCTTTCATGATATTTCTCCCTCTTCTCTCTCCCGCTCCTCCTTGAGATAATGAAGTTAGAATTTTTCTAACTGCAGTGTACTTAATTGCTTCGAGCTCCCAGGACAGACACTGAATTTTAATTATATTCCCGATAGTTAAATCTGTTCACTACATGTAACTGAATTACTTACTCATGATTCTGGCTCACAACTAGATATTCAACAGTTAATTTTTTAAATCCTGTATACATTCAGTAAGACAGCGTGACTGTTTCAGGGCTTTCATATGTGATCCAGAGCCACAGACTGCAGTGGCACATAAAACATGCAGACATTCTTGTCTTTATTATACTACGTTTACTATTTAGTCATGGAATTGTCATTAAGAATCTGTCTGTTCCATGTTTTTTGTCTCATTTTACTGAAAGCAATGAAGCTTCGCCTGAATGTCTCACAGGACAGTGGATTTCGGGCTGAGTGGCGGACTGGGGAAGGCTGTGCAGTTTCTCCTTTGTTTGACATTTTTAATACTTTTTCTCTTGGTTATGAAATTTACTTTCAGGACTGTAATACTGTCTCTGTCAAAATGAGTCACGGTATAAATTACAACTTATTCGACTATGAAATAGCTGGTATTATCTAGTATTAAATAACTAGAAACTGAAACAAGTTCCATATACTTCAAATGATTACAGCCCAGATCAGATATACAAAGAAACCTCTATTTCCAATGTCTACCAAAATCTATAAATGTTTTAAAGTAGTTAAGTTGATTACATTTGTACTACTATCGTTTGCTACTACTACTTTAATTCTTTATGCTGAATCTAATCTTCTCCATATCAAATTCATGTCTTTTGATAAATAGTTAATTCAGACTTTGTACACAAAGCACTATAGTTGTGCAAGTGACTGGTCAAGGAATGATTTAATAGAGGGTTTTCCCATTCAGGAACAACAAGTGAGGGTAAGGCAGGGATCAACACTACAGAAATGGGTCTTTATAGTAGAAATGGAAAGAGAACAGAAATCAAGGTCAAGTGGCGCCGTCTGAGATGAAAAATGCCCAGCTATAAGACTACAGTGATTGGTTTGGGTGTCAAGCTGGGACCCAGTAACTGGAGGAAAAAGCAAGTCAGAGCACAGTCATTCATCCCTTGTGCAGGGAACAAAGAAAAGGTAAAATTAATCAGTACCAGAAATGCCCATTACACAACTATTACGCTTCAGACAGATATGAGCCATCTCCCATACATTTATTTGAGTGTTTCCTGTTCTGAGAAATAACTTTCATTTTTTGGCTGTGTACAGGGGTTTCTTACTACGAAGTGGGAAAGCACTTTGATAACTGGAGAGCCCAGTACTTACTACTGTACATCCATTACAGTGCCCCATTTCCCAGCATTCCCATACAGCATGGCTCTATGAATCATAAGTCTCATGCCTGTCTTGTAGACCTCAAAGTGTTGCTTAAATTAATTATAACACTACATTACATCAACGAAGTTAACACAAAGCTTAAAAACAACTGCATGACCAATACCGCGTATTACAGATTCATTAAAGACAATCTTCAAACTCAAGTTCTTCATATCTCTACAAAATACATCAGTAGCATAACACATTTTTTAAGAAAGCAATCACTACATACTGCTCTCAGTACAATGGTGCTAAAAATGCATAAAGACCCATTAAAAAGGGGAGTTATTAGTAACTACGCGATCTTATGTTCTGTATGACCGATATGGATTTTATCCGTCGAATGAACAAAGAACCAACGGCAAACAGAAAAGAGAACGAGAGCACGTATGTGTCACAGTACAGTGACCACCGGCATGTCCAAGCTATTATCAAGGGCAGCCATTTCTGAAATTAGATTGCTTTGTTTTAAAGATACATCCATCTTTTAGACACACAGTAAGGAGAGCTGTCCTGTAGTGTGAAGACCGGGAACACAAACACACGGACAGTGCAGACTTTTTATAAAAATAAATAACTAACTGGCTTACAACCTAAATACCTACAAACACTGCAAAAAATGAAAATCTAAGCAAGTATAATTTTCTTATATTTAGGCAAAATTCTAATTTCATTAATAAACTAACAGCACATCTTATGAATCAGATTAATTTGCTTGCATTTAGACATATTGTCTTATTTTAGAAAATCTTACCAAGTACAATTACTGCACTTGCAGATAATTTTGCTCATTTTAGGCCATCCTGTCTCAAAACAGAAACAGTTTATTTTACATTTGAGAGGCCATTTTTGCAGTGCAATAATCATAAGTGACATGTGGTAAAACAAAGAACTGGGACTGGGCACGGACACAGGTATAATTACACGCACGGCGTTAGAGGGGCAGGGCTGGCTGCTGTTACTGGCCTGTCACCATGACAAACTACATAAGATGACGGCATGGGCATGGCCTTGCTTAATTACCTGTGAAAAGCAGAATATAAAGCACAGGAGAATGAAGGTAAAAGATGCTGGGTGGAAATATGGAGAACGAGTGAGACACCATGAGAAGTACTGGGAGAGCTAAACCAATGAGCAGAAAGGGATAGAAAGGAAATGTGATGTGGGGACCTAAGTGGGAGGATAATGACATGACAGAAGATAGGGCTTTGGCGGGGGTCAAACCAAAGAGCTTCAGTCCAGTAAAAGTGGCATCAGTTGCCACAGCAGGGCAGAGAGATTGTCCCTGTGTGATTTATGTCAGTGGTACGGGCCGAACCTGATCTCAGTTCCCACATGGGGAAGACACCCCACTAGACTGGAGGCCGGTCACCGTGTTACTGAGTTTTAGTGAAGCCTGAATACCAAATCAACACTGTTAATAAAACTATGTCCCAGGTTCAGCACATTGACATGCGTACCTTTCCTTTGTCCAGCAACAGCAGCTGAGAGTCCGTGACTATGCAGAACTTTGGGTTCCATGTGACCTGCTCGGCGAAGGGGAGACCGCAAGAAATCCAGTGGGCTGGGGGGGCAGTTACGTCTGCAAAAACAGAACAATGGGAAAAGAACGGTAACTAATAAACAGATTCATAAATAATCCAAATAATTTTTACAGTGCTTTCAGAAACTGTACAGATCTATCCAATTATGTTGTGTCGTCGACTTATTTTTTCCACATCATTGTGCATCAGTTGACACATGATACCCTACAAGGACAAAGGAAACATGTTTTAATTTTTAAAAATAAAAAACTGAAACTTAGCATTTACATAAATAATCAGTACTTTGGAACACCACCTCCTGCAGTGATTAGAGCCGCAATTCTTCTTGGGTATGCCATAAAGACCTTTGCGCAGATGGATTTGGGCATTCATTGGAGATCCTCTCAAGCTCTGTCACACCGGTGAAATTGCAGCCTTCAGGTCTCTCAACAGATTTTCTATGAGGTTCAAGACTAGGGTTTGGCTGGGTGACTCAAGGACATTCAGAAACTTGTTCCAAAGCCTCTCCATCAATGTCTTGGCTGTCTGCTTTGGATCATTGTCATGCTGAAAGTTGAATCCAAGGTTGTGTGCACTATAAAGCAGTTTATCTCCAATAAATTCTCCTGATTTGACTCCATTCATCTTTATGTCAATACTGAGACTTTACTGGTCCCTGCCACTGAGAATCATCTCCAAAACACAATGCTGCACCATTAAGCTTCACTGTAAGAAGGATCTTGTGTTGAACAGCCAAACCATTGCCAAAGCTTTGATACCTTTTTCTATATCAACATGAAGCCACAATGTTATCCATGAGATCTGCAGAGCATTCAATAGGCTTCGTAGCTTGGTTCTCAATTTATCAATCACCATAAACTGTGGGGCCTTATAAAAAGAGGTGTGTGCCTTTCTAAATCACACCCAATCAAGTCAATTTCCCACAGGTGGACTGCAATCAAGGTATAGAGACACCTGAAAGATGACCAATGGCAAATTTGCACTGCCATAGTGAAAGGATTGATTACAGCCATGAATGGAGGATTTCGATTTTTTATTCCTCATAAATTTGCTAGAATTCCTAAAAACACATTTCACTTCGTCACTATGGATCACTGTGTGTCTGTTGATGGCAAGAAAGAATTAGTTTTGTGAAATAACTTGCACCACACAACAAAGTTTGGAAAAGTTATGGCATCTGAAAAGGTCCTGTAGACAAGGTGCAAAATGTGCATGAGATATCCAAGGTACAGACATGCTAAAGGAAAGAATAAAATTAAAATAAACATAAACTAAATTAATTAACAGCTAAAAACTACTTGCATTCTTCTCATTTATTTACTGTTTTTGTTTAGGTTAAGGTAAGCCACTCTGCTAAATACAATCATATTGGGCTTACCCCAATTCTATGTTCCAACCCAACCCAAGAATCTTTACTGCAAGGCCTTCATTCCCAGGAAATCAAAATAACATTTATTTTGTAGTAATACCAGTTGCAATTGATGGAACTTTCTGTCAGGTAGAAAATATAATGGATCACATTGTATTTGTGGTGTAATTACTACTTTCACCATTTAATAACTTCATCGTATTATAGTAAATTTCATCCATCCATCCATCCATCCATCCATATTTAGCTTACCCTAGTAAGGTTGGCAGTAGGAGCCTGGAGCGTATGCCACACAACACAGGACATAAGTTTAGGGAACACCCTGTACTGCTGCCCTGACCATGGTAAGCACTTAAACTGTGAGAAAAGAGAGTACTGTTCCAATTTGTACTTTTGAGGGTACAATTGCTTGTCACTGGAGCTGTACCCACAAGGGTCTGCCAATTGCACCCTAGCTGAAGGTAAATGTACCTTCTAAGGTACAGAAATGGATACTGACAAAAATATTTGTATCATTGGGGGTACATTTTTGCTATTTTTACCTTGGGGTACAAAACTATAAGGGCTGTACACTACATCTGACAGTGTAGAAGATGGATAGATATTTACCATTAATTACTTGGATTGTAATTTTAGATTCAACTTTCTCTCCTTATGTCACCTGTACCATAACCAGTAACCTCACTTTGTCTGTGATCTGGGACAATCTGGGACAAAATGCCTGCAGTTTCTTTTTCTTCCCCTGCAAAAAGCTATTTATCTTCTACTCGCAGTTATAAGGAAACAGTAACTGCTCAGGATGAAAGTGAATTTTGCAGCACTTCTGATAAGGTCAGGCCTATACAACTAAACAGAGCTCTCTCTCTGTTTCAGTCAGGGTATTGTGCTAGGATGTCCATGTACTTACTTCAGGCATGTTTCACTTGTACAGTACAGGGGTTTTGGAAAAATGTACAGGTATGTCTGATTGTATGGCTTTTAACTGCTACATCGTATTGTATGTCTTCAACATTTTTTAATTTAAAAAAATCACAATGGAAAAAAACTGGCAAATGTAGAATTAGAATGGGAAGCAATTGGATGTTTTCACGAAAGCCTGGTCCATGTGTGAGAGATTAATAATGAAATGTCAGCTCCATTTAAAATGGGGGGAGGGGGAGTCAGTATAATGGATTGAAAATGCCATCCACTGTGGATACATATCATGGACACTTTCATCCAACTCACTGCTCTGTAAAGTCACGTTCAGACAGGACAGAAATCTATTCAACTGTATTTATATGCATATAAAACCTATTTCCTGTGTGTATTTGAAATTTTAGGAGTGCGTTAAAGAATGCATGCAGGTCCCAATGAGGTAGTAGATTCTCTCTTCAACTATGTAAAAAAAAATGTGGACAACTACATAATAATTTATATTATTAAGATATTAACATTGTGTGTGATTTGTCAAGTTCCCTAGGCAAAATAGTCTAACAATATAGAAGCACAAATACAGTTTAAATGTTTACAGATTGCAAAGTTACAATGTACATTTTCTTACTTTTTTGAAGTGATCATTAAGCAAATGCTGTGCAAACATATATGCATCATTATCAGTGATAATTTCGTTGACGAAATATTTTCGTTATAATTTTCGTCAACGACAAATTTTCACTGACGAAAACGAGACGATAACTAAATAAAAATTAAGTGATGATGACGAAAACTATAATAAAAATATATTGACATTTTCGTTAACTAATAAAAACGAGACGAAAATGTGAGTGAGGGACGTTTTTGGAAATGATCCAATCAGAATTAATCTTGGTGCGTGGCGCGGTGAGACGCACACGCACATTTGGAAAATTAAGATACTGATTCACCTTGCGACGCGAGATGCGACAGTACATCTTGCATACATTGGTGGGTGTCTGTCTGACTTAAACTAAAATGACATGGCAATGGCTGGGAGAAAAAGAAGAGAAGATATATGGAATAATTTCACGTTTGATGTCAAGACAAACAAGACCTTGTGTAAACCGTGTGGAGCGGAAATCGCTGGTAAAAATACAACAAATCTAAAGCGACATCTGCAAGGTAATTTTTTCAGGTCATGCAGTATTTGCAATGGCATTACTGCCAAATACAGTTTTTCTTTTAAATAATTTGGAGTTGCACTTTTGCTTTACAGAATGAAGAATGTCATATGCAAGTTCTAAACAATGCATATCTAATTTTTGGTTTTTATGGAAAGACGATATTCCACATATTTAATGAGACTTGGCTTTATTTAATTTTAAGTTAGAATATTTTGTATATTACCACGGTTTAACTAAATTACATTTAAATTAAACCCAATATATTTTAGTCAACTAAATCTACAGTAGATTTAGTCGACTAAAATCTTATGCTTTTTAGTCGACTAAAACTAGACTAAAACTAAAACAAAACAGATGACTAAAATATGACTAAAACTAAAATTGCATTTTAGTCAAAAGACTATGACTAAAACTAAATTGAAATCTGCTGTCAAAATTAACACTGATCATTATATGAGGTAAAGGTATAGACAGATTAATTTGAAAGAGCTTAACCATGTGAAACTAGCTCTCCTTCAAAATTTGCTTATGTAAGGATATAATATTTTAATGCTTACTCGGCAGTTCCCTAAGTCGGCGCTCCCTCAGAAGATGGCGCTCTACGCTGCCCCAATGGGTTGTCCGGCACAAGATGGATGTATGGAGGAGCAAACCCCTCTCATAAGGTCAAGACAGGTTGGGGAGCATGTGCCAGTGCAGCCCGTTGCTGCACCCACCACATGATGGTGAGATGTTTTACGATGGCTAGAGAGCCTATCCCAACACCAACCCCCAAAATTTTCCCCTGCAAGTTGGAGGACCGCTTGCAGGACCGGATGCAATTTAATATCATACCCTCTCATGACCTGATTAAATCTGCAGCTTCAGATGCATGTCAGAGTCTGTAAATGAGCACTATAAATGGGTTCTATATTTATTTATTTCAAAACAAAAACTGTCATATGTGCAAATACATATGTTGTTTTAAAATGTGTTTAGCTGAAGGCCACGTCGACCATTGAATTCCACATTTCTTTTTCTACGAACGAGTGTGTCTTTGAATTCATTTTAAGTGTAAACGTTGCATGATGATATCCAGGCTGCTGATTTCTTTTTCACAAAGTGACAACTCATGAAAGTGAGATGCATCAAGCACAGAGAGAAAATTCTGTCACCACATTCTCTAAGCTCTTCACATACTTAAAAAAAAAATGTAATTCCTCACTTGCACCACTCTGTGCTGTGGGTTCCCTTCTAATGCATTCTGAAGCAAAGCATGGTGGTCAACTGAACTTTAAACCTGATTATTTTTTATTATTTTCAGAATCAAATGAGTTCGGAAAGAATCCATTGTCAACACTCATTATTCCCCTGATGGAGATTAGGGATAATCCCTTCTCTACTTTCCTAATAATTCAGGCTGTCAGCTATGTTACTGTGTTACAAAGCTCACAACGAACATCAAGCAGTGTCATCAGATGGATGGTCAGAAAAGAGCATTAGATCCCTATAAGCACTAACAGTTAGCCTAGGACTAACTGGACAGACAACACTAGAACTGCAAGTTTATTTCAGGATCAAGTTTTGTGTTTACAACCCCGTTTCCAAA